CTGTATAGATATATGTAGAAAAAGATTCGTCTAAATAATCAATACACAAGTCTTGACACATGGAGCAATCACATAAAAAGTGTTTCTCACCATGTTACACAGGTGCCCAGATTAATCTCACAATACTTACAAATTCTGTTAGTGGTGTATTACTTTACCCATCTCTACAGCTATGTTATGACCTGAACATCTGAATAGAAATAATCATATAACTGCTCATTATGAATAGCAGTAATGTGACATTCTGTTTCTATCACAGGTTTATACTGTGAATATACTGTCAGCTTATTGTTTTCCAAAACTGAAGTATACTATATACATCATGTGCTTTTTCTCTCAGTCGCTGATTGAGAACAGATGTAAATACTCTTAAATCATCTGAGCCTCCCAGACATTAGAGAAACCACAGGCACACAGTGACTTCTGATAGAAGAAACCCAGGTTTTTCTTCCAGTCATATCCAATTGAAAAAAGCATATTATAACATTTTCTTGGGTAATTGTGACCAAACAAAGCTACCAATTTTATCCAGTACAAAATGCATCTTTTCATTTAAAAAGGGAACAGTGCATAAATCTCCCAGGACAGCTGCATTGCTCAGTCGTACTGACACCCAAATGCTTTTTTGCCAAATTAAATCTGGACATTGTCAATACATTCTACTGGCTCAAAACCACATATCTCAGCTCCATAATATAATATAGGGGTTATCATACAATAAACAGAAATAGAGCTTGAAGATAACTAATTTTATGCTTACAAACAAACCTCAGTAAGGAGAATATAGCCTTCTTACCTTGGCTACCTAGATGTTGATAAATCTTAGGTGTAAACCATATGCCTATATACAGTATTTATAGCAGAGTCAACAAATCCATGCCATTACCAGTCTTTGAGCATTGCCGTATTCATTCAGAAAAACAAGAAAGGACACACCATGCAACTTGTCGGGGTTGGCACATAAAGCTGCCAATGATGTCACGGGGTGAACTCAATTATAGAGCCAGACCAGGATAAGTGAAACACTGCTGTCACTGTCTGTGGACCGACCCATTGGGAAACTGGGCCAGTTGTAGCTCGAGATCAGGCCTAGAAAAGGGCTTCAGAGCAGGAATCGAGAGTGGAGTGGCC